TTATTTCCAAAGAATTAGTCAATGTAGTATCAGTTTCAAAACATCAAATTGAGGCACTTTTACCGAGGAACAGAACTGCATCAAGATTATCAATGTGGCTTCAAGATGAAGGGCGAAAAGCTTCCTCACATAACAATTCCCATAACCGAGCATCAAATGTTTTCCTCCATTCTAAAAGTAGATTGGGAAAGCATATTGTCATCACTAAGTGAAAGGTTGTCTAACTCTCCATGAGAAAGTATGCCACCAAAGAAACTTTCACTTTCAGACCGACACACCAAAACATATTTACTTTGGATCAAAATTTCAGGCCACATCTTTTTGAGTTGGTACAACTTTAGGGATCAAAGCATTTTCATTTTGCCACAAAAAATTGAGAATCACATTCTTATGCACCAAGTAACGTTTCCTTTTCTAAAAAATAGATACAACAGATTTTTCAGTTTTTCAACAATTAATTGAGCCTCTCTTAGTGTTCCAACCGGTACACTTTCCATATGAAACACCTATTGTAACTATGTTTCCGCAAAAAATTAAAAAACTTTAAGTTGATATATCAGAAAATATTTACTTGCAGCTAAAGATCAAAACACATTTTTTAAAGAATTGGAATATTCCAAGGTACCGGATTGCCCAAAAAAATTGAGGAAAATTTGCTTAAGTACCGACAGGAACATTTATTTTTAAAAACAAATAAAGACACCCTCAGTTTCAAAAAAAATTAATCGAGCTATTTTACTTTCCGAACTTACATATTTCAACATGAGACATTTAAAGAAATAAAATAAATTTGTTTTGAAAGATCGAGAAACTTCTAACTTTCAAAATGATTATCCAAGCACCGCGATTTTGGGACTGAAAGCTTGTTAATATGGAATTGAAGCTCTTATACTTGGGTCCGAGAATCTCAATTAAAACATTCATTATGAATGCAAGGGCCACATAAATAATGTTCTCTACCCAAGACACCTGGCCATTTTTTATTCTTTACCAACTATCTTTCATAAATGAAGCTTCAAAACACATATCAACAACCTTTCTTGAATAAACTAAATTTGACAGTTCCCATAACCGAGCACACAAGTCTTTCATCCATGGTCATCACATACTAGGAAAGCAAATTGCAATGTCTAAGAGAGAGAGAGGCATCACGATAGCTTTCACTTCCAAAGCAACAAACATAAACATATGTACTGGGAATCAAATGTTCAAGACTCATTTTTTCATAGTTGGTGCTACCTAAGGGACTAGAGCAGGTTTATATTTTCTCAAGAAAGAAACATTTTCTTATTCATCAAGGCACATTTATTTTTAAAAAATTTACAAAACATGCTTTCAGTTTATAAATAATAAATTGAGACTCTCTTATTTTCCGAACCAGGACACCAAACACAATTATTTTCTAACAAAAGAAGCAAGAAACTTAAAATGTACCAAAAAATATTTATTTGCAATCAGAAGATCCAGGATCATTTTTTTTAAATTCAAACTACCGCACGGACATAAGGAATTCTACTTCCCCAGAAGAAATCGAAAAGCTCTTTCCTGAAAACCGACGCAAATTTATTTTGAAACAATAAATCAATTTTTTCTCATTTTCAATAAAATAAATTATGGCACTTTTACCAACAAACAAAATCAAATCTAGTTACCTGAGGTGGCTTCAAAATGAAGAGCGATAACCTTTCTCACATAAGATGAATATCTCGATAACCAAGCATCCATGTTTTATGTCCGCGCTAATTTTTCAGCTCTATGTTAGAAAGCTTGACAACTCTTCAAGAGAAAGTGCATCATCAAAGTAATTTTTTCTTTCAAACTAATATATCGGGACATATTTACTTGCTTTCTTACCTTCCAAATCATTATTTTTTAGCGAAAGAAGCAAGAAACTTAAAATGATACTAAAAAATATTTATTTGCAGTCAAAAGATCGAGCCACATTTTTTTTAAGTTCCAACTACCGGACAGATACAATAAATTCTATTTTCTCCAGAGACTTTTCCTTAAACACGGACACAAATTTCTTTTGAAACAATAAATCAATTTCCTCTCACTTTCAATAAAATAAATTAAGACACTTTTACCAAGGAACAAAAGCAAATCTAGTTACCCGATGTGGCTTCAAAATGAAGAACAGCAATCTTTCTCACATCAGATGAAAATCCTAATAACCAAGCATCCATATTTTATGTCCACACTGATTTGTCAGCTCTATATGAGAAAGTTTATCGGCTCTTCAAGAGAAAGTGCGTCGTGAAAGTAACTTTTTGTTACAAACTGATATATCAGGACATGTTTACTTCCTTTCTTACCTTCCAAATCGAGACACCACAAAAAATTATTTTTTAAGGAAGAAATCAAGAAATTTAAATAGATATCAAAACACATTTACTTGCAGTCAGAAGATCCAGGCACATTTTTTTTTAAGTTCAAAGTACGGAACGGACACAAGGAATTCTACTTTCCCCAAAGAAATCGAAAAAATTTTCCTTAAACACGAACGTAAATTTATTTTGAAACAACTAATTAATTTCCTCTCACTTTAAATAAAATAATTAAGGCACTTTTAACAAAGATTAAAAGCAAATCTAGTTACTAGATGTGAATTCAAAATGAAGAACGAAAACCTTTCTCACATAAG